GGGGGGGGGGGGGGGGGGGGGGGGGGGGGGGGGGGGGGGGGGGGGGGGTAGGAACTTGGGAACCGCCCCCCCATGAAAAATTTCTGTATCCGCCCCTGGTCCATGTACCAGTATGACCACACTGGTGCGACAACGCTATCTGCGGGCGAGCTCCATCTATCTCAGTTATTCGAACAAAGAAGGTTTCCACAAATGAAGCGAGATGACGCGTAAATAGCTGATACTTCGGTGGTTTTTCTTCATCGGGAATGATTCACAATAAGTCTCCAGCACTTTTCATGCGGTACCTACTCTTACAACTTTAAGGAAGACACTCGAATTCCTTAATGCATTTGTTTAAACAAGTTAAATAGTCCAGAGAGACTCCTGGTAATCGTGGAGGAATCATGTTTCAAACAGGAACCCGACTCGATGAGGAGAGGATAGTTGGAATATTACTCCTTCGATTGCGGAGGCTGTGTCTGGCATCCCTCCGGGAGATATAGAGCCGGGTGTCATAATACAAAAAATCACCCAAGGGATGGTACACGACAATCTATTCCAGAGAGGGAAAAGAACCAGATGATTGAAATCACAATGGGGACTAATCCCGGACAATGAACAATGACATGCAAATAAAAGAGGTTTCGAGTAAGCTTCTATAAGCTTACTCGAAACTCCTGAAAGTCCTGCTGCACGTCAGCAATTCATGTTGGCAAAATGTGATTTTCCAACATTGCCCCAGTCGAGAAACAGGCCTACAAGAACCCAACCATGAGAACCAGCGTTCAAATTTAACTCAGGTGAATGCCAGTAGCCTAAATATAAAGTTAAACCCACAGTTGATATCAGATATACGTCTGAGTTGCTTTATCGCAATTACATGGCTTGGTCTGATGACGGAAATATAAATTTTACATGTTCACTTCACACTCCGACTGAAAAATGCAAGACATGTTGTGTCATTGTGTAATGTCAGAGAACTCCAAGTAAACTTACATGGAGCTTTATTTTTGACGAGCGTCAGTGAAGAAGTAGGCCTCATTGAAGAAGAATCGTTGCCGTCAAGACATCAGCAAATGCTGACATCTTGACGGCAACGACCGTAGACTTTGCACATCATTAGGACACGTGTTCCATCTGATTCCTCAAGCTTTGAGAAGAGCTACATTGGGACCTGGTAGGCGCCATCTCCTAAACGTCACACCTCTCACTCTCATAAGTTAGTCAGCGCGTCTCGTAGGCAAAGCACCAGATCCGACGGTTTCTCCAACAGCACAGACATCGAGAGCTCATGACTTCTTTGCATATGACCTTTGAAAAAGCCCTTCTCCAAGTTGGAGAATGGATTTTCTGGAAGAAAGGCGTTAATTCCTCTTTCTCACCCTTTGCTCTCTTTTTTTCTTCTTCCTTTCCCGTTCTACTTCTTCCCTTTCTTCTTTTTTCCCAGTAGGTTACACGGAGCAAATTCCATTCACAACTGTTAAAGCCCCAGCAGAGAAAGAAAATCTATGGGCCCTTCGTCATGGATCCATTTTCCAATCTCCGTTTCAATAGACATCGAAAGGACTGAAAGGCAGAGGACCAAGACCAAGATAAACTTTATTGCTGAAATAAATCAATGATCGACACGAGGAAAGATGAATCTAGACCTACAGCGTGCAATTTTTGCAAAGCTCCGAGAACTACGAGGGAAAAATGCTTTTATCGCGAAACCAGCCACGAAGGATGGATAGTGAAGAGGAAGTTGGGACGAGATAGGGGATTGGGAATCCACTAGAACGATCTTCTCTCCAAATTCCTGTCTCTCGGCGTACCTCAAAAAGTTCGTTTCCGAGAATCTCCGAGAACGATGCAGTGCACTGATACGAGAGGCAACGACTTACTGTCTGGAATGAAACTCTTGCCGTCGAATGGGGTTCACCCCTCTCTCGTGAACTCTTTCCAACTAATTTTTTTTTATAATTAAAGATTTTTTTGTTAAGTTTTTTTTCTGATCATCTTTCTCTTCTCCTTCTCTTATCTTCTCCTTCCCTTATCTTCTCTCTCTCTCATTCTTTCTTCTTTTTCTTTCCGGATCTACTTTTCAGTCAACATGGGCACGGACGACACTGCAGAAAGAAACACTACGATGCCAATCGGAAGCCACTTTTTTGACCCCCGAGTGAATGATGGCAACGGACATCGGACGCACACACACGCACACATAGCTGTGCATTTTCGTAGTAGGGATAGTCGTAGAGGAAGAGTTGATTTGGGGAGGGGGGGAAATTGGGGAGCCTGCCCGGGGGTATATTAATCGAGGAATCCCGTGTTCACGAGTCGATCGAGGAAGAACTTCACGTCGCCGATCTCGGAATCCCGGATCCCCAAAGCCTTCAGCATCCCCAGATCTCCACTCTCCACAGCCATAAACACGTTCTTCAGGTGATCGATGTCACTGCTCATCAACTGCAACGTTGACCCGAAATCTTCGATAGTCTGCGATTCTGCAATCACAAAACATTCCATCGGTTGTAAAGAACGAAAGGGAGAGAAAATGAAGATTAAACGAGCCGAACACGAGCTGATCGCGCTATAGCGCGATACCAACTCGAGCATGATGCAAGAGTGCATTCTTTTTAATGAACATTAGCATCATATATGTACTAAAGTTAGCAGAAAGGCTGTGCAAGTGGCATATGAAGTAGAAGACGGCAGAAGGTATCGCAGCTCCTCTTAAAACCGCTCAGAAAATACCATATACACTGACAGCTTACAATGGTGAATTGTGCCGCTGCTTACCTTCCTACTTATCAAGGGGACTGGATGTTCGCAAGTCTGGACGTGAACAAGTCTCATGAACGTATAAGGGAATTTTGCAATTTTAGTATGGAACCTGGTCGTAATGTTTTAATCGGAGGGCTCTATTTTTCCTGCATAACGTTCGAAATTATCCAAGGAATCCGCACCGTACCTAAAATGTCATCTTTCTCATCCCATTGCAAAGAAATGATGAGACCATAGCTGTTACTACAGTTAAGGATTTGTCCAATTCCATTGCCAAGTTTTCTGCTACCGCAAGTGAAGCTCCCACGCCCCTTCTCTGCAACCGTCGCAGTGTTTGGAACGCGGCACTTCGCTACTAGTGTGCAGCTGACTATATAGCGACGTGGCAATGACTGAGAGTTTGACGCTTCGTGAAAATGCTGGAGCATTTGATTCTACACAAAAACGTTAGAGCTCTTTCGTTGACATGGAGCACTTTCATCCAGCGCAGCTAATTGCGACACAAAGCTGGAAAGGTTCAGATTATATGCGCGAACAGTGGATTTTCGAGCGACGGAGAGAATCTGATGGGAGTCCATGGGGTAGGCAGGATGACACAGCAGACAGGAACCTCGAAGAGAGAAAAAAAAGAGCGAATACCACAGTCTTGGCTCACTCGGAACCTTCTTCCGGACTATAAAAGCAGAACCTTACGACCTGTGAAGCAAAACTCTTGAAGTGTCCTTGAAGCATGCTTTAAGAAATGTAGCCATCTCGAGTCGATACGAGTCCACGCGCCTAGCGAGTGAAACACTTTTGCTTGCTTCTCTCGAAGCGTGATGAATGAGAATGTCGCATGAGAAAGGAGTGGCAGGCAAAGCACCGATGAAGCGAGTCAGACGTGCGTCTTCGAGCGTGCCAGACGAAAGGGGCAAGGTACACCAAAAATAATCTAGCGAAATCCTTCAGTGGACGGCAGACGAAGAGGAGCTGCTCTTTATGTTATGGTGGCATGGACTCAGAAGGTTCGATCGGAAAATATAACGGTGGGTGCATTCGACTTGCGAAAGGAGGAAAACAGGAATCATTCCAGAAACTGTTTCAGGATATTCAGCAGGACCAACTAAAGTTCCATGATAACTACTGTACAGAATATCTGTAGCTTCCTCCTGAGCACTCGTGTTTTTGCGAAACCCCACATCCAGAAGAGGGACACCATATACCAGGAAACTATATCAGCCAATCAAATACTCCCTATTTACTTCAAAGTTTCTTCATTTTGTTGACCATTTCCCCCAAACATAATGTTGTGCATAGTGTTGCACACCTCCCTTCGAGTATGCAGAGAGCCTTGAATTGTATACTATTTTATTCTCTTGAACAAGTGCGATGACGGTCTCGATTTCATTCGCCAACAACTGGGATGATTTTCATAAATCATTTTATGAGAAGCCCTCAGCAGCGAGGCAGAACTTTGTAATGTTACTAAATGCGTCTCAATGAAATGAGGTCGGAGCTGATGGATGCATGGAATTAACGAAGAAAATTGGCACGCTACATCCTCATTAGTCTCGCTTCGAAGAAGCAAGCAAGATTATCTCATTCGATGGATGCGCGGACTCGTACTGCTTCACGCTGGTAATGTTTCGCAGAACATGCTTGAAGTATGAAGCGTCTCGTTCGAGACTTGCCTCGTAGCTAAACGGAAGGCCGGAGAGGTTCCGACCCTCAAATGAGCATCGCGCTCCAACACTGGATCGAGGCTAACATAATGAGCTACGTTCGAGCAACTACTTTTGGCCCTGGCATGATGTCTCACGAAGCCAGCTTATTTCTTCTGTCGCGTGCGGAAAAGGAACGGATTCCTATTCATTTTTAAGGGGGGATGTTCTTGTCGTAGACCATCTCTTATACTTATTTCATAAAAGTCAAAGCATTGTATAAGTACTGAATGATGATGACTCGTACTCTCGCGATCCTCGTCGTTCGATGATATTTGGCAAAGAGCCATGCCGATGACTACGAAGCTCTATGGGTTGGTTAAAAGGAAATCAATGTTTTTACTGGAGAAAGCAAGAGAGAGAACCGGGTCGATTTATTTCAGAATAATGCTAATCTTACCCTTCGTGGCGAATCTAAGATAAGGGCATAGCTCTGAAGTTCCTAGATGTGCTATATGTATTTTCCATTCTTTCAGAACTGCAGATGATTCGTTCCTTAGCAATTGAAGAGCCGAAAGAAAAGAATGGTTTATCTCCAAAAAAAAATTCTCTCCTTGACTTCCACACGGAAATAATAAATATTCGGTCTTCTTAAAAGTGGGGAAAAGTGGGGATGCATAAGATAGACCAATTTATCTTTAAGATACTTCCCCAAAACTACCATTTTCAATGAAAGGAAGAAGGTTTTATGAACACTAAACCAACTATACTTTTTCGGACATTTTTTGCAGATAAACGACTTTTCCTTTCAGCTCTTCCATTATCATTTTTCGATACAGCTGCACAAGCCCCATACTTTGCAAGCCATAATAGAGACACTGTCAAAGCGATGTAAGTCTATCAGTATCTCCCTTATCTAAATCGGTCAGATAGTCGTTGAACAGTCTGACGAATTTTCAAAAGTTTTTGGTACATTCAGTTTCGGAACTTCTGTCGAACCACGAAGAACGAGAAGAAAAACGTGATGCACGACCCTGTCGAAACGAGTTCGGATACATCGACTTCATTCAGATTACTTGGGTGCTGTCCTCTGAAGGGTCTCACGTCAGAACATCGATGCGACTTTACATCGACACGACGAAACATCGTTACGACAAAACTTCGAAATGACAAAAATAATAATAATATTTTTGACAGTATTAAATGACTGTCATGCATATTATCCTACTTCTCCTGACAAGGCTGGAATGCAATATAAAGGGAATGCTGTTCTCAACGAAGGGAATTCCCAGACTCGGAGAATTATGTAAAATGTTATACTAACGTTAACGGGAAGAACGTAACTAGGTGAATTGGGACTTCTCCTCCCCACGGAGGACCAGACGAGTTCGTCTTTTTCAAGCCAACCTCCACTTGAGGGAATCGCGATAATCGGCAGGCTGAAACCATAGGGTGGTCGGAAGTCCTACAAGAAGTCAACTAAGCATACTCGAGCAAGGCGAACTGATTCGAAAGTGATGAAAAAAGACCACGAGCCGTGAAACGAAGAGGAGAAACCGCCTTCGCGAGAAACTTTCAAGAAAACTCAGATTAAAAAAAAAATTCACTTGATTGATCAGCTCGCGTTTTGGTGGATCAACCCAAAAGTATAAATTTATATGAATTTTATTTTTCAATATATGCCGCAGGGATGAATAGCTGTGAGAACACAATACAAAGGAGTGAACATTATTGCTGCTTTCTAGGGTACTCTCGAGGTTTGAACTGCTACCTCTCAAGCACTCTGTCGATGCTTTCTCGTGTCGATGTTTTGGCGTCGATTTCTTGACATGGGGTCCCCCTGAAAGGCGCACTAAGAACGAGACTAGTACAGAGGTATCTGATTTGCTTATTCGGTGCAATATTCTTGCTCTCGGGGTAAACTACATTGCCGGAACAACAGGAACTACAACAGGAACACGATGACCGAGCGATTTTTTCTTTCTAGTTTTGGTGCCAAGAATCCATCCTGCATACACGGCCGCGTTTGCAAGGAGGCAGGAAAAAGTAACTTGGTCTGGAAATCCATACTCTGCACGTCGGGAAGCCTGCGCCGAAACTGACCTTTTTTATATATATATTGTAAGCTAGAAGGCCTACGCCAGAAGGCAAGAGAGGCTCTGTTGGAACCAACCTTGGCTTCCACGGCAGGGAACCGGGTTCCAATCCAACCGGGTACAAGCCCCAGCGTGTTGGGAAGGGAGGCCTCTCGACACGAAACATCCCCGTCGAAGGGTTATTTGGACCTCGCTTTACAGGCGTGCTTAGCTCCTTCTGTCGAGAGCGCTCAAATCTAGCAGTGGCCACATCCATCGTCAGAGTCCCTTAAAAATGGATTCATACAGAGCGGAAAACGCAAAACGGAAGCCAGAGGTTACCGCCAGCACAAGGCAGAAACCGCTGGCCGGAGGCGGACCTCCGTCGAACCGGTCCAGTCGGATCGCCGGAAACCGGCTGGACGGAAAAGGAAAAATATTGACTCGGAGAAGTGAATCCTGGAAGTACGGAGACATCCGCTTCTGTATGATACGAGATGAAAGATCAAAGGGACTAAGTAATGAAAGAGAAAGAAGGGGGAAACATCAAACAACAACAAACGGGAAAGTTTTGAGGTTAAAGAGAGTCCAGGAGAAGGTAACTCTTGTCGTTCTGTCCAACTCTGTCAACACTAGGCACCTCGCTTCATTTGAAATGTCTATTTTTACATTTAATGTTTTAAGAAGCTTAGTTTTCATTTCATATCCCCCCGTTACGATAAACTTGCACCTCTCCAGCTAGAGACGCGGTATAAATTGCTTTCCGTCCGGCGAAAGCGACGGCGGAAAGCGGAGATTTCCGTTCTCAAGTTTCACGAACTTCCTTCATTCGCTTTCCTCGTCGTTTTCCGCTCTGTATAAATCCACCTTCAATCGAAAATACATTCTCACCGCTAGAGACTTAAATCGGTCAAGACATCGCCTCGTGTTCGATGCCCCGAATGATTTGGAAGTACTTTCTTTTCATTGATGGAAATCGTCTTCAGTGATGAGTCTTCCATTTCC